GGGTGGGGGTGGGGTGGGGTGGGGTGGAGGGTGGGGGGGGGTGGGGCTGCTGCTTTTTTGGTTGCTTTTTTGGTCCCTTTTCGGTCGCTTTTTACGGGATCCAAATCGCTTTATTTTTGGTGTTTTCGTGGTTTTTTTTTGCTTTTTTTTTGCTTTTTTTTTGCTTTTTTTTTGCTTTTTTTTTGCTTTTTTTTTGCTTTTTCCCTAGGAAAAAAGCGAAAAGCAGCCCTCCAGGGTGGCCCGGGGCCAAAGGCTCCAAAAAGCACCCAAAAAGGCCCCAAAAAGGGTCCCAAAAGGGAAATAAATGCAATGGAAAAGCGTTCGCTTTGCAGCCAAATTGAGAAAAGGTTGAACCAAAACCGCTAAAAAAAGCAACCAAAAAGCGATTACTGGAATCAAAATAATGGCCCTTGAAAAGCAGGGGCCAGGAAGGGTCCGAAAAAAAAGCGATTGCACCAGACGGCCGGGCTCAGAAACCCAAACAACCTGTGCCCGAAAACTAGCACCTGTGCCCCTCCATGGTCCTTGACCCTCCCTGCCCCAGACACGCAAACGCTCAAGCATCGAACATCAGGGACTATTATTCAGCAATTTTGAGTTGACTTCCAAACTCCCATATCTATATATACACTTATAAAGCCTTGTGGCACCAATGACACAACTCCATCTGCTAGGTCCGCTCGGTGCATGGGTTAGCCGAGGTTGGAAGCCACTAGGAGCGTGACACAGCTGGCTGAAGAGTCATGAAACACACATGGCCTAGTTTTTCTTAAATGGCATGTGGGTTTGGGGTCTTCAGAGAAAGTTGCAGCCCAAGAACCTCGCAAATGCTCCGTTGCACCCCTCCTGCCGGCACTTCCTCGAGCATCCTCTCGGGCAAAAGATCCGAGAGCTTCTTCGGAGGCACCTCCCGCTGCTTGGTGACGAGGTCCTGCAGAGCAACCAAACCCGAAAACTAAGCCTAAGGCGGGCAAGCAACTGTCCAGGGACATGACCTACTTGTTGCATTCTTCCACGTGGCAGAGAACATCCTAGCACGGTCATTTGGCACCCACAGCACCTCTAGATTCTATCAGGGCTTGGGTTTCGGCTTTGGCCTACGCTGTCCTACACCTACTCGGTACAACAGAAGCCGATGCAACAATGGGAAGAGCACACAAGATGAAGCTTCATACCTGATACCACGTAAAGAATTCAGACGCTGGAAAACACAGGCGGCCTTGTAAGTCTTGGCAAGGAAGCCAGCATCCGCGACACCATACACGTCCTTCCGCAGGAAGACGATGTATATCCTGCATTCAGGCACAGGCGGAATAGCTATGCTACACAGCTGCAGAAATTTCAATAGCAGAGCATGACCTGCCACAACAGCACCGTGAAATGAATCGCGCACACTTACCTGACTTACCTGTCGGCTTTGGCATTGGCTTTGGGAAGGAATCCAAAACCCTGAGGCCCAAGACTGAAAGCTCGAACCTGGGAACCAAGGGCACGGGACTTATTTGCAAAATAGCGAACAACCAAGCTTCAAGACACATACACCTTTTCAACGAATGCGTGGAGGCTCATCAGGCTCACCGTCTTTCCGGGGGCGTTCCACACCGGCAATAACATGCGCATCCTCTTCTCGCATGAACTCAGCTCTCGCTGCCTGCCTAGACTCCAGGCTGAGATGTCGAGGCACTCCCATCTGCTTGTGCTCTGTTGCAGAGGGGCACAGTCCTGCAGCATTGAGCCAGGCACACAAAAAGCCGATCGGTCTCCCTTGTGAAGGGTTCGTCGCAATCTGTCGCGGAGCTACAGCTGCGTTGACTGTGCGGGTGATTCGACAGTCCACATGATCAGGATGACGGCAAACCGCCATAATGTGAGAGTCTTTGGAATTGAAGCGCAGGTCTCCCAAACTCTTGAAGCTCACAACACTTGTCGGGCGGGGTTCGGCACGTGGGTGGGCTGGTTCTGCACGGCGGGGAGCATCGACAGAATGTGCATGAATCTCCGGCTCAGCTGCAGCGGAGGCTCCCGCCCCCAAGCCTCCATCATCTGCGGGATCCTCCGTCTCCAAAGCATCGGCCACGTAGTCAGACCATGCAGTGCTGGAGGCCTCGCTGCGAACTTCCTCATCATGCAGGAGATCTGGCTCCACAGCATCACTTGCTGAGCCCTGCGCAGACTTGGTTTTTTTCTTGGCATTGCCGGCATTGCCCGTGGCTGAAGAAGTCGTCTTCCGCTTGCCAGATGAAGTCCCAGATCGCTTCTTCATGTTCTGCTCATGTCGCGCCTGCTCTGCAGGCCAGCCCTGCCAAAATTCCATGCTGGGCACTTCGGCATACTGTCTCACAAGCACTGTGTCCGGTCGCATGCTGGCCCTTTCCAGCACATCATTGTTGCTCAGGATCGTGCTCACAGTGAACTGCCACGGGCCATCGAAATTCAACTTGCTCTGCTCAAACATTCGGACAGAGTGGCAAGATTCTTGAGGGGTGGGCACCTGCAGCTTCAAGTACTCGGGCCGAGCAGCATCAGCCCCAGCTTCCTCCAGACGCAAAACACCCAGAGCCCATGTCGTGTAATTGATATGACCAACATGGAGCCACAAGGATGATGGAGACTCTGCCCCACCCTCCACACTGACATTCATTGCATTCATGGCCAAAGCTTGCCAGGAGGAATGCATGTACTTCTGCGGCAGAACCTCTTCTGCTGAGATACTTCGGCTGGATGGCCGCAAGCACACAACAACGAAACCATCATCCAGAAGTTTTCGGCTGGACTTCAGCTTTGCCTGCTGATGCTGCTGGGCTTGCGACAGCTCTTGGACCACCATGTTGCCAGAAGCATCCCGAATCCTGCGGGTCCGCTTGGGTGTGAAGAATGCCTTCAAACAGTACACAAGCCTGCAGTGAAAGAGGTACGATTGCAAGCCACGTGAAGCACAAACACACATACCCAGCTGCGCACAGCGACTTGGAAGAGCATCTGACGCATCTGGAATGGNNGTCACACATGCTCTCCCATTTGTCAAAAAGCATGCCCCGCAAATTGCTCTTCTCGCCAACTGAAAGCAGATCCTGGTGAGGGTTGGCTAGGATAACTGTGGCACAAAAGAAAAGACCAAGAAACGAAAGTAAAAATTCACTGTGAGAAGTTCTTCGGTCCTACATCAGCATAGGGCTCGGTTTGATGTTGCTGTAAGATGTACATCTGAATCTAAGTGACGGCTCTCTTACAAGATCCGGGTCGTTCAAAACTACAGCTTCTTGTCCATTGCTCCAAATCCAAGGGCTTGGGGCTTCGGGAATGTCAGCAAGAAATCAGGAAAACTTCAAGCTGAATGTAGGTGAGTAGGTAGCTGGGCCAGGCTTCCATGAGTTACCCACCTAGTCACCTGGCCCAGGCACTTCACCGATCTTGTCCGCGGGCACACGCATTTCCGCCGACACAAGGCCAGTCAGCGCAGGAACATGCTCCACCTCACCGCATTCTCGAAACAGATGCTCTTCATCCTGCCGATGCTGAACCCGGCTGTCGTGAAAGATTTCACACCAATCCTTCACTGACGCAGATCGGCGGTGAAAGTCCTGTTGAACCACCTGCAGCGTGTCTGCCAAGTCTGCAGCAAGCAACTTGTAAGCCTGGTCAGGGACTGCCAACTCCTGCTGGCACGCAGCAGGCACAGCCACAAGAGCTTCCACGGCCTCATCGTTGCCAGAACCAGAAGATGCTGCTGCCGCCGCAGGAAGAGAAGCATGAGCATAACTCGGCAGACCACGGGCTCTCGCGCAAAAAGCCACCTCCGCCATCTCTTCGTATCTCTGATGCTCTGCAGGTGTCAAGTTCTGGTACTCCTCACGGAGAGAAGCGTACGAAGCAGCACCGAGGTCAGAGATTCTAGTGCGGCATCTTTCGCTGAGGAATGCATTCCAAGGGTTCTTTCTTGCTGGCTGTTTCTGCGCAGGCGGCTCAGCGTCTGCTCCAGACACAGTTGACGAAGCCACAGCACGGCAGAACTGGACTCGCTGAGCATTGTTGCTTCCTTAACTTAACTACCGAGCTCAAAATAAACCCCTTTCAAAGAGTTTAAAAGGACATCAATATACCCCCAAAATGGAAGACTTATCTGCCAAATGTCGGCACACCCAGTCGGCCCCCACAGCGGCCAGTGACAGCCGGTGCGTTTGCACAGATTTGATCGTAGTGATTCGGCGTGTCGATGCGTGGCGAGCTTCTATGGACGCAATGTGTAGCTGAAATATTGATGCGAGGGCTCTGAGCAAAGCTTGCGGCTCGGAGGTGCCCAGGTCAGAATACTCCGAGAGCAGCAGCTTAGTGAGCGGGCAGTGCATGCACTGCGGATCTTTCGTCGCCTCGTGCACCCCGTCTAAGCTCCTGAAGAGCTTGACGGGGTACGACACGTGGGTCGTGCCGATGAGGAACTCCGTGCTGCACACATTGCGGCTGAGCATGCGAAACAGAAGCACCTGGTGGTGGCGGAAATGACACCATCGTGGCAGCAGCAATATCTCCTTGTGGAAAGCTTCATTGACACGCTGCCTGTAGGCGTTGAGATCCGTCTGGCGCGCGGCCTCCAGCACGGGAAAAGTCCGGTCACAGCCTTGGCTTTGCTTCGTTTTCTCAATCTCTTCCCACTCAGCCGAGCCTGCATAGACCAAGCGGCGGTAAAAGTGCGACAAAGGCGACAGCGCAAGGTGCATCAAAAGAATTGGCGGAAAGATTGGCTGCCTAAGCCAGGCCAGTACCTTCTGCTTCATTTTGAGCTTCAGCTGTGACCAGTCGATGTTCCCTGTCACGGCTGCGAAGTCCGCATCTGCATCGGCCGCCTCCTGCTCATCGTGGTCCGCCACGGCAGCACCTCGCGCATCAGCTTGCGCAGCTTGTGGCAGCCCCGACGCTTGCGCAGCTTGTGATGGCAGCCCCGACTCTGTCGCTGAGACCTGGAGAAAGTCCAGCAGCACGGGACGAAGCAAGCCATGACAAGCCTCTGCAAGCCCGAACCAGAGCAGAGCATCACTGAACCCATCCCATCGAGTTCGTGAAAAGACGGGAGGCCGTCGCGGCAATAATGCAGGAATGAGCCATTTTATCATGAGTTGCACAACATGCTCCTGCTCGAGGCCCCATGTTGTACTCCAGAACCAGATCTCATCCTGCTCTTGCAAGTCCCCTTGCAAGAAGAAGTTGATGATGGCGCGACATCGTTTTCTCTGCAAGTAATGCTCTTGCATCCTCGCAAGAAGATGCTCATCGCCATCACCATCTCCAGAGGGATCCTGCAAAGGGAGGAAAGTTTCGAAGACAGCGGCCCTGTAATTGTCTGCAAACGGATCCTCCGGTCGGGAGCCGAAGCAAAGATGCACTTTGTCTTTCAAGACCCTTGCCATCGATGCTCGCAGCGAACGGATGCTTCCGGCATCCACGCAAGTCAGCGCTGTAGCTATCATCCCGGTGACCTGGCCGTCCAGCATCTGGACGGTCTTTGCCTGAACTGTGTGAGTGCGGTGCACATCGCAGCAATAATGTGATGTGCAAGCATTGATGCCATCAGAGCGGAGGATTCGTTCCGCTTTGAGGTTGGCGGCATAGCGATCCGTGGTGACGAGCTGCACGTTGAATTTGGCCTTGTGCCCAAAGGCCTCCAGCCCTGGAATCATGTCCAGAATTGATCTCTGGGCTTTGGCGGTGGCCTCAGCCGTCGTTTTATCCATAGCCATGAGCCAGCAAGGCATGGGAATCCTCATGCTGTAGAAAGTCGAACTCGAGACTTGCTCCATGAGAACCAAAACCTCGCAGCTGNNGAGCATGACCACCTTATGGCCAGTAGCGGCAGCACACCGCTGGGACAAAGCAGCCAGCAGAGCCCCTATCAAGAAGGCAGAGAAAACCACCAAGTAGCATGCTGCCTGTTGCATCGCTCTGAGCAAGGAGTATCTTGCCTGCTGAATCACTGCAGCCTGCGCGGTCATGCTGCCCGTTGGCCGAGAAGCCAGCAGCAGCTCATGGAACATTGTCTTGAACTTTGTCACGGTTTCTGTTTTGGCACCTCTTAGCTTCCATGCAGCTTGCGCGATATGCCGCTGCAACTCTGTCCCGAGCGTCAGCAATCCGAAACTTCCCAAACTGAAGCCACTGTAGCCCTCAGACTCCTCAGGAGGCGATGCTTCCGTGTATCCAGCTCTGGATGCCCTTGCCTCCGCTGCTCTCTGCACCGCAGCTTCTTTCCTATTCTCATCTGTCACAAGCTGAGCCGGCTCAACATCATCCGACTCCAGAGCTTGCAAAGCTGCTCTCAACCCGACTCGGCCGCGCGGCCGTCCTAAGCGGGAATGCCCTGCATCCGAAGGGGGCATGCCATGGTATCAGACACGCAAGTAAGAAAGAGAGCTGTCGCAGAAGTTGAACAAAGATCACAGGATCTTACCATAATGCCCTGGGCCATAGGTTGTTGATTCTACTTATTACTAGTTGCTCTCATGGTCCTAATGATTCTAGCGGTTCTATTGAGTGAAGAACAATAGACAATTCAATAAACTTATATTCGACGGATTGCCACAGCCACAACCGCCTTAGCACACCCATCGATGTTCACCGTTGAACTGCCTCTACCAAGATGGCTCACCAATGCACAGTTCTCACCGAAGCTTTTGAACCGCACAGAACGTGACACACAAGCTGCGAGGTCCCGGAACGACCAATTTCATAAGCTGTTAGACTCGGATGAACCCGTTTGTCTGAGCTGTTCACAAAGCCGGGGGCAAAAGGTCCAAGCAGGAACTACTGACTCACACACGTGCGACTTACACTCCCTCGCCCACCCTCGGATGCTCTCTCTTCTCTTGCAGTGTGCTGAATCGGTCCTGTCACGCATCAGCTGCACCCAATCCTGATGGGAAGCCCTCAGGACCACGGCATGGTACCCCGGCTTCTTGGCCGCCTTCAGCTCGCTCTGAACCATGTTCAAAAACCTGGCGGAAGTTGTGGAGTGGTGTGCTAGTGACTGGACTACCTGGCTACCAAGGGGGGGTTGTGTCTTCGTCGGTTTGTTCTGTCCCTGTCGCTTACGCTGTTACTCTATTTGTTTCTGCGTGTCAGTTTATCTGTTGGGATCACGTGACCTGTGAAAATTGGTTGGACTTGGACAAACTTCAGTTGCGAATTGATCGAATACCAAGTGCAATGTCGAAGTTTTGTAAATGGTTACCTGTTGAGTGTTGAGTAAAATTGTGAGCACACCTCGCGCACCCAGGTGATCCAGCAGCCCAACATGACTGGTCAGGAAACACGTACCAAAGCCCTTCAGCTCTGCACATGACAAGAAACAGATGATAGGAAGCAAACATCGGAGCAATAAAACAGTGGGTTACCGGCTACCCGTTATCCTGGAAATATGTTCAGCACCAAGTCTGTCAGACATGACTACGACGACGACGCACGCTGCTTTCTCTCCCTTCCATGTACCCATTCTGCAATGTCTACAGAAACACAGCCGCTGAATCTAGCAACCTAGTTAGCTGAACAATTTTGCAAACGGAATCAAACGTAGTCATATGGTTAAATGCCGAACTCACGCTAGGCCTGCTAAAACACTGGGACATGCCACACTTTTGCCCCACTTGGCTCCCTGCAACCCTACCTACCTCACCCACTGTTAATTACCACTGGCTACATAGCGGCTAGAATTGCACACTCCGACAAGAATTCAAGGCTTTGACGGCTTTGACAGGCATGAGAGCATCTGAATCAAGCAGTTGTGTCCCGGCCTGCGCATGGGAGTCTCTGATGAATCCCTTGTTGTCTCGGCTTTGTCAAAGCCCGGCACTTGTTCAAGGATGAAAGCTTTGTGCAGCCCGTGCAGGAGCATGTCTCTTGCATCTACCATTGTCGTATCTATCAGTCCATGCTGCTGGGAACCCTCGAGGAATCTCTTACTGCGGAAAGTAGAAAACGGGGGACACGGAGATCCACAGACGCACAAGTCACTCTCCCGCGTGCCACACGTCTGCTCAGACTGCGCATGCAGCCGACACGTCGCATGCTCGATTTGATCACGAAAGTTGTCGTGCAGGTGAGTCGGTGGGTGATTCGCCATGATGATTTTTCGAGCTGTCTCACTGATCTCTGAAGCTCCGACCGCTGTGAAGGGAATGCCAAGCGCCTGGCAACAGAACAGATGCTTCAATCTTCGCAGATCCACAACACTTGAAACACATATGTGTATATGTCGGCTCCATGCAACTTCGCTCTGCAGAACGGCGACTGTCGGCTGAACTGCCCATGATACTTTAACAACTTCACAACAACCTCAAGAATTCGGAAGACATGTCTGTCGCTTTCCCACTGGTCACCGGGCCTCAAGGCACACTGCTTCTGAAAAAGCACCCGTGCAGCAGGAGACCAGGCTTATCGGGGAGGAGCGAGGATGTCCACGTGGAGCCACATGTCGAAGGTGCATCTTGATGCTAAACACGAACCATTCCTTGTCACAACTGAGCGGATGCTCTTGACAGAAATGCCTTACTGACACTGACACTGCCTCACCGTTTCAACACTGGCCTCACTGAAAGTGTGATAAAGTGACGCGGCATCTGAACAGCAACAACTCACTGGCAGTAAACCCAAACACGCACACTGCCGAACACAGCTTTCCTACGCCCATCACCGAAAGCAAGCGCCTACAACAGCTTCTGCGACAGTCGACTTCGACAGTCGAGTCTAGAGTCGAGAGTCTAACGTCTAGAGTCGAGTAGTCTAGAGTCGGCTCGAGTCTAGAGTCTAGAGTCTGGAGTCTAGAGTCTAGAGGTTTTAGACGACCTGAACTGAATGGACGATAACACGCGACCAAGCTTCATCGGAGGTTTGAGAGCTGCAAGGAATCGGGCTGGGCTCACTGTCAGAATCTGAATCTGTCCGCAACAGATCTGCCTCCTGCATGACTCTCTCCATCTCCCGATTTGATGCCTCGAGAGTCGCCGCTGTCACAGCCTTCCATCCCTTCATGGCTGTTGCTATGCTGCCAAAACCGCCAAGCCTTGCTGCCTAACTGCGGCTACGACCTGCTGCTACGACTAAAACTACGCAAGCTTGCAAATGCTTGACACCAAACACAGGCAACAGCGGCGTGGAGGTCTGCAGCCCGACCCTGGCCCCAGCCTTTGCACCCTGAAATCTGAAAGTAGACAAAAAACAACCGGCAGCCTACACCAAACCCGCACAGCACCCGAATTGTTAGCTAGCTGTTAGATGAATGATCGGATGGTGAGGTCTGCTACTACTACAGAGCAACACAACAGGCTGTCTACAGTACGGATTTGGCGCATGTCCAATCTCGGAGCAAACGACGGCAACCGCACATAGAATCATAGAAACTGCAACAAATAAATTCAGCCAAGCAAAAACTGACTTCGGGAGATGAGAAGGCCACGCCAAGGAAATCTGGATTGCCGGTTATTTCAAGCTGCTTCAGAAGCTGCCTTGTAACACACTGTCGAGTCAATGTCAACTGTGTCTGATGAGAATCATATCTGCACCTCAAACAGTCAACGCCTTGGCGCCTGCAATCTATAGACGACAGTGACCACGCTACACTGTGCAAAGACAGTAGGCCCAGTGGGCACAAGGCCAAAAAGGACGACCTCCGATGTAGAACAAATCAAAACACGATTCTCACTCAAGAAATGGATACCGTAGTCAACAAAGTCAATGCTGACACACATTCCAAACATCTTACTTGGACTTGGTACGGTGTGGTATCCACATAGAGCTGCCCATGCACACACGCAAGCAAAATGCACAACGGTTGAAAAGGTCTGATCTTGTTTTCCTGTGTGATTTGGGTTTGGCATTCTCTGATCGCAACTGCGACGTGGTTCCCCGAAACCACCGCTTCTTGCTTCTCCTGAACCTGCTCTTTGTTCTGTGGAACTTTGCGTGATTCTTGTTGTCCTGCCTTCCTTGCCCCTTGCTTCTGTTTGCTCCTGTCTTCCCGGACCCATATTTGCAACCCTGGGGACATTTGCTGCATTTAATTTGTTTGTGAGTTGCCTTAGTGTTGCTTTTTGTGTGCTTTGTGATTTGTGTATGCTTAATGTTTGCTTTTTTTTTGCTT